GCTTCACACAAATAGTATGAATGGATCCTCAGTGCAAAGAACTGCATTGGCTAGTATCTGCCTCAACACAACTAAAGCATGCAAGGTTAAATTGCTACCTGCACGCTTAAAGAGGAAGATATATAAAAAGAACTATACCTCTACTGAGAAATTAATCCATTTCATTTTTTATGAGGAGACTGGATGAAGGCTGTGCCCAGAAGATGCACAGACATGCCCATTCTTTGCTATCCCAAAGGGTCCTTTCTGTTTGCTTGCCACTGAGATGTATGCTATTGGCGTCAATTCCTTGTATAAAAAAAACCTGTTCCTCACCCTGTGCTCCATGACTTCTTTGTATTGGATGAGTATATGAAAGCAGATGGAAAGTAACAACTGTGGCCTGCAGTCCAGAGGTTTTAAGAAGAATGATTCAAAAAATCGTGATCTATTAAAATAATATGCTCAAACTCATAGTTACACAAAAAATAGCTGATAATTTCATAAAAGATAATTTCTTCTCCAGAAGTGAATGCTGAGCTCCAGAATTAAAGCTAAACTAGCCATAAACAAGATACTTGCATTACATTGGAAATACCTAGAGCAGTGGTCCTACAGAACATACATGTAGCAAGACTAAAGTTCTAGTTTCACAAGCTGCTCAGAAATTCTTCCCTTCTTTTTATTTTGCAGCTACAAGCTTGCTGCTCACATGACATGCTCTAAGTCTCCCCACCACTAAAAGTGACGTACCTTGTGTGTCAAAGGAAATTTGATGGAAACTGCTGAGTATCATTTAGACTCCACCCAAACCTGGATACCTCTCTCTGTAGAAGTGGAATCTGGGTCACAAGACATTCAACTTTTGCATTATCATGGACTGATTTGTGAATTTTAGCAGGTTTCCAAATCCATACAAATTTCTCCAGCTTGGAAAACAGTGCTGATACACAGATTGTTGCACGTGTTTCCTTTAGCTCTCCTGGCCACTGTTATCAAACATACCACTTATCTGTCACATGAACCTAGAATATTTTCTCACTTTTTGTATTTTGCTTAATAAAGAATGAGATGATAAAACTTGCAGCAGATCTGTTTTCCATTTCCAATAGTGCCTGCTTATTAGTACTTCTTCAGAAAAAATAAAATATTTTCTGTCTTTGATCTGTTTTTTAAGCATTCTGTGTTTGAACAAAGCAAAATATTATTTAAGATGTGATATGAAGTCTGCCTACTGAAAGGAGTAGGAGTCTTCCTGTTGTTGAAATCAGACCCTCAAGGATATCTGGCTAATACAGAATTACCACAGTGAGTGAAAGAAACAACTCTAAGCAATTCAGTTCAGATTTACTGCATTAATAAACCAGTATTTAATTTGTGAATTTCCTGGAAGAAGGAAAAGACCTCAAATACGCCATCTTTGGATGCCGATAATTCTTTCCTTATATTCTGCTTTTTCATCTACAGGGGTTAACTGGAAATGGAAAAATACTGAAAGTGAGTCACATGGGATCAAGTCATTTCATTAAGAACATTTGCTAGCAAATTCTGCAGAAAGACAAATTTTACTATTTCTCAGGTCACTCTTTAAAGTCTACTGCTACTGCCATTAGGATGAAATAAATTACAATAGACAATATTTCTATTTCCTTATCATATCTGTTTTTTATCACTGAAAGAAAAACAGTCACTAAAATCACCATAAAACAGAGGAAAACTTTTGAACATGAAAAGCCTCATTGAATTTGCTGGAATTTAGTTTATTTCTGAGAATACACACATTGTTTAACCTATTTGTTTAGACAAAGCAAAAGGCAGTCTTTCTGGTTCAAATTATTCCTGCACAGGGAATTGTCTCTGAATCTACAGATTTTTATTTTTATATTTTTGTATGCAGAATCTTACTGCACAAAGTCATGCCAGAAGAAGTTGTAGGACTATTTTCTGAAAAAACAAGAAGACCATTTTGGTTAAAATCCTAATCTTTTTTTCTTTCAGGGTCTATTAGTTTATAATGACAAAGTTTAACAGATTCCAAAATAGAAAATCATTTCCTCTCAAAAGAAAAAAAAGAAGTCTAGTGAAAATTAACACATTTCTAACTATCATTGGAGTAACCCAGAACAGCAAATACTAAAACCAGATTGTTAACAATCAGAGTGAGTTTACTGTCAGTACTGTCTCCAGGGTGGTGTGAGAAGCAGCCCATAGGCTGTGGGGGTGAAAGGTCTGCTAAAAGTTGAACCTGACCTCCTGTGCAGGAGCTGGGCTGCGCTTTCTGAAACTGAGCTGAGAAAACCTTTTCCTGTCAAGTTAAGAGATGGTTGGTACCTGCATTCTTACCGAGCTTTTCCTGAAGGGCCCAGGTCTTCAATTAACACCCTTTCATCAATCAGCTACCATTCTGCCTAGTTTGTTCACACAGGTAGCGGACAGCAAGCCTTGTCTGTGCTGAACTGTCCAGGCTGTGACTCAGCACCCAGCAAGGAGGTTCTTGCTACTGGCAGGCTGCCACCGCCGCTGATTTCACTTGAGAGGATCTACAGTAACAGGAGGAGGCTGGACTGCTGCCCACAGCCCTCTGCAGCAGAGTTAAAAACACTTTGGCCTACATATTCAAGCACATGCAGCCTTGACCTGTATGTGCACAGAAGTGGAAAAGAGTATAAATCAGGGTGCATATTGCAGGGTTTGCAAGCACGCGGTCAGCAGCATGCATGCAAGATTAACCGTGTGTGTGCAAAATATATCTAACAAAGTCATGGATTTAAGTAGAAAAATATTTGGATATGAACAAATCTTAACTGAGAAAAGAACAGAGGGAACGATTAATTTACTTGATAACTTAGCAAAGCACAGGAGGCTGATGCTATTGACTTGTCTGTCACTGGTCTTGCAAATTAGTCTAAGGAAAAGGGCAGCAGGGAATTTCATTCAGAATTCAGACTTTGAAATGTCTTTTACAGACAAGAACGGCAGAAATTCCAGTTAAATAAAGGCACTCATCTGCAATGGTGATGCTCTTTTAATTACACCAAGAACAGTCTCTTCCTCTTCCCCACCAGAGAGAATTTGATAGTCACTCAGCATCACCAACATCTCTGCAAGACACCTATAACTACAAAATCATGAAGAGAAAAAAGCAGAATGTGCTCACAACATCCTCTACTTCTGTCTCAGACACATCTTCCTAAAGACATCAACAATCATGACTAACGCCTTCTTCATCCAATTTCATTTCCACTTTCTGTCCCAGCTGAGCTGTAATGGGTAGTAACATAAACACATTATAGTCCTGCTGTTATTTCAACCTAGATTGATTTAATGGGCATCTTGACTCCACTGTACAAATGTATCGGTACCAAGACCTCTATTTAGCTTCCTTTATACTGTTATTTCAGAAAATCTGCATCTGTTAAGTCTCTACAACATGAGTTTTTCTAGTTTCTGCAAGGTCCCAATTTGTTTAATTTTTCACGTACATTTAAATTTTCTGGAATTTTTAATAGGACCTCTCCAGTTCTCATAAAAAAACAGCATACCCTAGAACTGACTCCATTGTGCTAAGGAGAAAGATAATGTCCCATATGAGGCTGTACATTGCTTTGACCTTAATTCACTGAAGCATTTCTACTCAGAACAGTACACATGCCACATTTTGAACATCAGCCATATGTTTAAGTCCCAGTGAAGTTTAAATAGATAGATTACCTGAGACTGAGATGTTTTAAAGCCATCAGCATAAAAGTGGTTAACAGTTAACATTATGGTGGATAACTTCAGCGCATCACACAGAATCACACAGAGTCACGTAGGTTGGAAGAGACCTCCAAGATCACCCAGTTCAACCTCTGACCTAACACTAACAAGTCCTCCTCTAAACCATACCACTAATATATATCACCATATCACATAATGCACATCTAGAAAAAAAACACTTGAATTATTCTATTTTTGTGCTTTCTCATAACATAAAAAAGACATAAGTACCACAGACAACCTAAAAAGATTTCAACTTTTCAAGTGTGTCACTGTGTTAATGTAAACGAGCTAGCACAACTTATGAAGGGTAAGACAGAAAATAAAGAAAACATTCTATGAATCAAAAATTTTCTATTAACTGTAACAGCTGTGGCCACCATATTTCCAAAGAACATATAACAGATGCATAAAAAAACAAGTTGCTATTACATAATGAAAAAAAATGAAAATAATATCTAATTATATTGAAAGACAGCAAAACTGAACAGATGGAATTAAAAGCACATTAACTCATAAAAGGGAAAAACAACCTGGTATTCTTAAGCTATCGGATAGTACTGGGACCAATGTCATGCAAAAGCAAAAAAGTAATTGCCAGGAAACTTACAGTATCTGCATTTGAGAGTGGGTTTAAAATGCAATAAGGTAGAAGTCATCACTATAGTGGGTCACAGTCCAGTTAACACATATTACAAATGAAGTTCCCTTGTACACAAACACAACAAAATTATTTAACTTTCAAGTATTTATTTTTGCCCATTTTAAGATTTAACTGTTAATTATAGCAAATATGAAGATTTGTCTTATTACCTACAGTTTTAAAATCAACAGATAACCGCATTTTTCATCTTTTTGTTTGTAGCATCAAAGTATATAAATACCCTTTATTTCAGAAAAACGTTTAAACAGGTAACTGAAGTCATGATGTGATGTGATGTTATGGTGCCACCTTGTGAGATTTCATCAGAAATGCCTCTAACGGGTAAGCAAACAAATACTAGCCCTGGGAAAAAAGAAAAGGAGATTGTGTATTTCAACAGCAAGCTACACTGCAAGCTTACCAATCATTACAAGTTCCAAAGTAGAGAGCATTATCACACCTACAGAAATGGCAGAAGGATTAATTTCTATATTTTATCAGCTATTTCAATAAGTGTAACATGTTTCAGCCTTTGAAAGATTTAACTTTACAGTAGTTGGAATAATGAGTAGAATGGAAGTTAATGTGCTTAGCCCAAAAATTCTCAAGGCACAACAAAATGCGTCAAAAGTTTTAATTGTTATGACTTTGATACAGAAGCCATGTAAGTGACAGAGCCCTTCTATTAACTGTTAGAACAGTAATACATGTATGATTGTCTTCAGGCCGCAGTACCTAAACAGTACTGGAATAAAATAAAAAGAACATAGCTGATTTCCAGCTGAAGAGGAAGGAGAAATACAGAGCTGCATTCATGCATTTTATGGGAAAGATTGCATAGCTCATTTAGAAAAAAATGTCTTTTCATGTCCTTAGTAATAGTGCTGTGCTTCTTTAATTTCTTCATAGGTAACAGATGATCGTATTCTTCTATTCAACACTATCAGCCCATAGAATCAGTAAAATGCAAGACTTCCTTTGAGATTAAGGACAGTTTTAAAGTTAATCTTGGAAAGAAATGAATCACATATGCAGTTATCATAAACAAAAGGCAAATATTTCAAGTTTCATAAGGACATGACAATCCATAAAATATTGGTTGAAGGTAAGCACCAAACCCAGCACCTGCCATTTCAGCGACTGAAAGGCAAATCTGGGATGTGGTTGTCTTCAACACTGGGAGTTTGATCTTGACTGCAGTTCTTTCATGTAAGAGTATTTCCATGCAAGACCCCCAGCTGTACACCACAGTGATAGAGGCATCTCATTATTTAAGGCCCATGCTTGCTTTCTCTTGGAAAAGTCACCCAAGTTCATCTTCCTGTCAATCTTCTTTTTTTTTTTTTTTGCTTTTAAGAATAGTATTAAATATTCATAAATATAAAAACTATGTGGAAATACCTTTAATAATACTCTGATGATATTCTGCCTGTTTTTAAAAAAATAACCACAACCCAACCACCTTTGCCAGAGTACTTGGCCAGCAGTGAAGATAAAAATGCAACTGTTCCAAATATCCTGTAGATCAAATGATACTTCTCTCCCTTTGTGCACCAGAATTATTTCAATACTTTTTGCGTTCTAAGAAGCCACAGTTAGAGGACAAAAGTCCCCAAGGCGCCTGAGATTCAGGAAGGCTGGACTGGCAAGTCATTTCTGATAACACCGGCTCACAGAAACATCTTCAGATTCTTATGTGGAAAGTACTGCAAAGGAAAGAAAAAGATTAAGAGAGATACATAAATTTGTCATTATATACAATGCTTTCATTAGAGTATATAAAGAAAGGTGCTGCATAACAAATCTGAATCTCTGGTCTTCTTTGTCCTGTCTCCTAGCAAGGACATTTGAGAAGATGAAAAATTGAAGCACATTCTCATTTACACTGAAGTATTTCAAGATGAAATGCATTTTTAAACCTACTAAATTCTGCTTCAGAAAGTACAATCATTCTTTTACTGAATGCCTAACAATTAGGAAGATCAAGTACTAAAATATAAAAATAAAAATTAGAACAATGATAGAATGAACAGAGACTGCATTTAGAGAATTTCTCATTTTGAAATCTTTTACTTATCAAAGAGGCAGATCTAATACTTTAAACTTCAGTTTTATTAGAAAGCTTAAGATCTTTTGGACAAGGGAGACATCTTCTATTTACAATCACGAATTGTTGATAAAGACATGAACAGACTGGCAACAAAACTACTCAATGACTTCCATACATCTATACCATCTCAACTGCAGAAATCCTGCTCTACTGTTCTGGTTTCAGAACATGTCAGAAGGACAGATCTTCCCATAACCTAGAAGTCACCTGCAGAACATTGAGCTACAAATGCAAGGATTACTAATATTCAGGCATAGGCAGGATGCTTGGCAATGACACAACAGTCAATCGTAAGGCCTGATCTAACCTACAAGAACAACAGCGAAGTGTTCAGGGACTCTTTTCATCTGTAAATTACCACCATTTCAATGGACCTCTGCTTTGTTGTGATAGGAATAATCTAATTTTTCTTATGATTACAATAATACAATATTAACTCGAGAAAACTGCCAGAAAACTACCACTGATTAAGTCACTTGGGCAACTGCTTATAACATTAATATATCTATTAATATCTCTATTATATCTAACAGAGGAAATGAGTAGCTGACAGAGCAAAATGTTAACTCTCAATAGGCAAATGGACAAATCAAGCACCTGGCAAAGCTATAGAATGTTGGATAGGTCACTATATTTTCCATTGATTTTGCTAAGTTTCTCCTCTGGTCAGGCACAGGCAGCGCATGAACAGAACCAGTCAGTGTGTTGTTATACTGCGAATTTTTGTAGACCCACAACTATAGTACTTATGGGGGAATGATCCCAAAAAGTTTTTCTTATCCTATATAGTAAAAAAAAATAAAAAATAAAAAATACTCTGCTTAAGTGACACTTCAGACGTCAATATTTGGAAAATAGTAAACTTACTCAAAAAGCAGAAATGCACTATAATCTTGAAAAAGATGTAAAAGTATTATTGAAATTCAATATTCTGAAAACCTGACTTTACAGAAACTGTTCTGCTGAAGATCCTACAGTGACTCCTCTGGCTGGAATGCCAGCATTGTAAGAAAAAAGCATATACTAGTATGCTCATCCTTTCCTTGCATTTTGCAATAACAGTGAATAGATACAGGACGGCGATGCCACTTTAAAAACATACCAAAGGTAACCTTCTGGTCTTCTAGCATAGCAGCATCACCTCCACAATTTCACAGAATAGTAGTGAAACAGAATAGTAGTGATTCATCTCTCCATTTCACAACTTCATTTTACAGTCCGCGTTTAATTGAAACTGAGCTCCAAGCATTTCTCAAATGTACTGTCCCTATGTGCAAAGTATCACACTGTCAATTAGACCTAAAAGAACTTCAATTCTAGTTGCAGACTGAGACGGTAAGGTTAGCTAAATCATCATGTTTCCTTCAATCATGTAAAGTTTCATTAGCCAGTCAGCAAGAAAAAACTCTGTGTCTAGAATGACCTCTTTGTGTGTACAAGGTTCTCATCACTTGTCTAACTATAGAAATTCAGAGGTACTCATAATATTTCTTTCAGATAAAAAAGTTTATCCCAGAGCACAATATACAATGGGATATTCATATCATAAGAAAAATTAAATCTTAGTGCAGGAGAGATGGTCCCAAAGATCTGTGATGCGGATATAACAATATCTGAATCTGAAAATGTGCAAACATCTTGCAGTCTTTAGACTGAGCCAAACCTAGATGCTAGCACTGGAAACCTCAAATCTTTCTGTAACAGAGAAAAGAAAAAAATACAAGAATATCTACTTATTTTCTGGTTTGTACGACAGCCATAGAGTATAGATTAATTACTGACGTTACAAATTGTCCCATTCTCTGGGACAGTTAGAATCCATGATTGGCCAATGCATTTATGACTATCAGTTATCTGCAATAACAAGTTTTCTCTCACAAAGATTTACATCTCTTGAACACATTAGATCACAGGGCAGAGCACAGTACTGGATTAAATCAATTATCCATTGGCTTACTTATTGGATATACAGCAGAGTGCCATTTCCCAGTTGCACTTTTGATATAGCACAGCATTTGGGTTTCTATGCACATCACACTAGGTAGATAAATTTATCATTTCTCTTGCTAAGGAACAAGACATTTTGATTATTTATCCATGATTTGCACTGTAATAGAGGTAATTAGCACAACACATCCTACAACTACTATCAGTTTTCAGAACTCTTGAGAAACTTTTCGGGATGGTAAAAGATACAGGGAAGGCTTTTCTACTTGCCCTCTAGGTGATAATCTCTGCCCAATGTTGTGACAGTGCCTACAGTGTTACAAACTGGATGTTTCCTTCTTGACTGATATCAGAAGGTATTCATCACGTTTATTTACATGCAAAAACTGTAATTTTGGTTCCTATATGGAAGAAAAGAACTTTAGAGGTTTGGAGCATTTGAGAGGCTGAAGTGTTCTGGACATACGGTTTTGGATTATTTTCCAGGGAGGCTGCAATATGATTACAGCTATTTGATTTGAATCAGGAATTCACTGAAGGAAAGCCTGTGGTATGTATACAGAGGAAATAAAATTTTATGTTCACAGTAGTCCCCAGGAACTTCATATCTTGAAATTTATTCAGTCTGGGTGACACTGAAATGCATAGAAAGCATATTGTAATGCAAAGAGCTTACCGATATTAACACTTCAGAAAAAAAGAATAGTAAACATTTAGTTCAGAACTCAAGAGATGTATAGAGACCTGCACTAATCTAGGATATTTAAAATTTAAGTCACATTGGCAATATCTACATTCTAAAAATAAAATTTAAAAAATCAGCATTTGAACACATTTTTACAAATGACACCTTAAAAAATTCATGTAAATCTACTTCACTGGAAAACTGTTTAAGGTTGGGTTTTTCTTGATATTTCTATCAGACTGTCGTTTTGGCCTTTGGAGATAAAGCATTTTACTAATGAGAAACTGAAATACATTGTGAAAAATACTGATAAAAATCATTTCTTGTCATTGTTTGCTCACTAATCATCTCTTATCAATTTGTCAATAGCTTTGACTTTAATCCTTAGAAACTAGATCATCTGCAATTTAGGACAGGTCTTTTGAGATGCACATTTCTTGAGAGAGAGCTCCAGTCACATCAGCTTTGGGTAGGACTAGAGTCATGACATGGCCTGTTACATAGGTAAAGGCCCACAAAGGTTTCACAACAGTGCATATCCAATGAAATCTTTGTTTTATCTGTTGTTTCTGTCTAGTTTTGGCACCCCCAAGGTGGTGTTAATGCCATGGTCTTCTCAAGCTCCATTTTAAATTGTTATAGTATGTTTCACCCCTGGGCCTTCAAATAAGTTTAAACTTCCAGGATGATTTATAAACCAATTTCCTGTGGAAAACGTACCCAGTCTTGTAGAACAGAACACTTAGCTAGTGCCAGTTCAGAGTGCAAACGCTTCCATTAAACTGCAAGTGGCTTCTTGATAACAATTGAGTGAAATAAACCTACTGCAATCAAATTGTCTGTACTAGCGATTGTCATTATTATTTACAGCTTACTCTACATTCAAGAATAAAAGCCAAAACTGTATACATCATCTTCCCTGGTCTACAATGAGCAATATTTTCTTCTAGTCTTAAAAAAAAAAAAAAAAAAAAAAAGTGTCATCAACAGCAGCAGCACAAATCAAGCAACAGACTTTACTGCGTCTTCATTTATTTGACAGCAGCCCAAAGCTTGCAAAGACTGTCTGTAGGAGATTAAACCTACATGGGGCCATTAGAGGTTTGAGAAACAAGTGGTGAGATAATGAAAATCAGTCAACACAGAATGGATGAACTTTAGCTCATAGCAGGTCAAAGCCTGGATCATAGTGCCAAAATTAATGGTTGCTGTATATATTATATGCTGTATATATATTATGCATGATAGTATGGCAGCTTAAAAGATAATACATTGAGCTGTGTGAAAAAAGTGCTTCAAAATAGGAATTACAGAAAACCTTTAAAGGTAAGATTCTTATCAACAGGGTAAAGATATTCCTCCTCAGTAATTTTATACCTCATTTTAATGATGATGCAGATTTTATAGTTGGACAGATCATCTTATAAAAGTTCTCAGTGTCTGTCAGAAGTCAGGTAAGCACTGGACCCATATAACAACAAAGGGAAAGTAATATCACCTATGGCTTAGCAGCAATCACATAGTGAAATAGTGGCAAAGCCACAGAACAAAAAACTTGCATCTAAGCTTCATAATCTTTTGTTTTAATGAAGTGGTTTTTGAAGACAGGAAAAAGGTAAAGAATAGAGTAAGAATTTCTTTACTGATAACAAAAATCATCTAGGGTTTGGAAAAGCATTTAACATTTTTAAAAGGATCCCATATTAGGTACCCATGTGGTATTCTAGGATCCAGTATTAAGAAATACTGTACATAGTCTCTGAAAACTGCAGTTGCCCAGCATCTCCAGTTGCTCACTGGCTATCATTTTCAAAGGCGGCCATTGCTTCGATGCATTGGTGTCTAATTTTCAGAGCTGCCGAGCAGCTGAAAGTATAAATCAATAGGCACTTTGTTTTCCCTGAAATTAAAGTTTGGAGTGTATTCAGCTGGGCACAAAATGTGGAGATACACAAAACCAAATTAAAATTACTGCTGTCTCTGGACATGTGTAGGTTGGTGTTTCTTCCATGCATCTGCTAAAGACTTCAAAAGAAACAATTTGACTAAGATAAAAAAAAAAAAGTTTTCATATTTTTTTGTACTATCAAGAAGATGGTTCAGGCATAAGTTTAGCATTCACTTGGCAGGGTAGTTCATGCCTGCACCAACACATCAAAAGCTTGTAAAAGAAAAATAATTATAACAGTCATTCCAGTGGGTATGGTGGAGAATATTCTTCTTCTCTGCCACCTTCTCAGGAAATGATTTGGTTGCACAACATCCACAGCTTGGATTTCAGTCAGCAGTTTGCAAGCTTATACACCACAGCACTAAAGTCAGTCATGGCACAGGAAACCTCTGAAACTACAGCTTCTGCTGAGTCTTTACAACGGTCTTCAATTCTTCACATTTGATCTGTGCTATCTACCAGATCTGTAGGTACATTTCATGGCCTTTTCATTGCTTAAAAGAAATTCTACCTGATCCCAACAGTTTCTTTATGGAGAACAGTGTACAGAGAACATTTTTTTAACTAGAAATATGTATAAACACAACATTGGAATGCATACTCAGCTGAACCTCACCATAATGATATGTACATGTATCTTGTTTTAAAAGAATTCCCAGAGACACACTTGGATTGTCAAGTAGTGCCTGATGTGTTTCTATAGTATAGAAGACACTCACATTGACTTGTAACGTATCCTCTTGAGATGCTAATGTTTCCTAGGATTCAAAGGAATGGTGTCCTCATGCTTTACATATCATTTTGTTACAATGCCTCTCCTCAGAAATTTAATTTACCAAAGAAAAACTCTTCTGTTTTCTTCAGGACGCTTCAAACTTGAAATCATACCATATACCTGCCTGCAGTCCAGATGATTGTTAGATTCTTATTTTCCCAAATGTTAGAACTTATGTTATTGTCAATTATCACCAGTCACACTACCAACTTGGCAATAATGTGTATGAACAAAGACTTTGAATTTTTTCAAGTTATCATGCACTTACTATTAGATGAAGATAACACAGCCCACTGATATTTGGTGAAAAACAGACCTAGGCTTTAGCTTCAGCCTACACTGCCAATAGATTCAAAATCCAAATTAAACTCTTCTCAGTCTTGAAGTATCTTACTTTTGCTGGCTGTTCCACTGCAATTTCTTAAAGAGGCTCTATCCTTGTATTACTTGAGTAAGTCTTATCCATAACTTATGTAGAATGTTTCATTAACATGTAAAAATTAGAAGCCAATGGTATTTTTATAAAAGTTCTCTTTAAATATGAAACACGAAAGAAAAGTTCTACCTTAAGAGAACTGGGTTTTGTCTACAGAACATTAAGAACAGACAGAAATCAATTAAAAAATAGTAAAATAGTACTTTTTTTAAAGTATTATTTAACAGCACATCCAAAAAAACCCACAGCAATAGATCATTTTAATCAGTTTTCTGCTACCAGTATGAACCTCTAGCTCTCACCTTCTCAATGAGAATAATCCATGTTTCCATGTAAAATGTATTTATGCGCATTTATAAAATCTACGTAGCCTTCACCAACAAAGCAATACTTTGGTATTTTCCATTAAGGGAAAAAAAAAAAAGGGAACTAAACCTGCCACGACACTTAACATGTGTAATTTTATGAATAAATTTAAAAAAAACTGGCACATTGGACACACTGTGCCACACTACACAGTCATCACCCAAAAAGAATACCTGAAAATACCTAGTGACATACTTTTTCTTAAGGCAATACCTGAGAAAGTCTGGTGCTTTGGAAATCATGTTTTCAAAATCTGCAAATCCTAGCTTCCCATCACCATCCATGTCAGCTTCTTCTATCACTTTCTCACAAACTAAAGTGATTTCTTCTGCTGTTAGCTCTTCTCTAGTTAGCTTATTGAGGGTTTTTTCCAGGTCTGCTTTACAAATGAAGTTATCTGTGTTAAAATCTAAACAGTAAAAGAAACAAAGAAAAGATCACCAGCAACTCTCACTTTAAACAAGCAGGGCATACAAAAGCATCTCAATACTGTACCATAGATCTTAAAGGCATAGATTGCTTTCAGCTCTCTGGGAGCCATTTCACTGAGGACAGAGAACATGTCCACAAAATCATTGAAGCTGAGGCTCCCCTCTCCATCTTCTGAGAAAGATTCCACAATTCTTTCCTTGAAGGGATTTTCCTGTAAAAACAGAATTATACTTTTTTATTATTTATTATTTAGAACATCAACAAAAACACAGACTCCCTGCAAATAAACAGTAGTCGGATGCTTGAGGATCACTTTCTGAAGACAACTTCTTTCTCCCAAAGCGCATCCAAAAATTGACATTTGCACGCTTTGGCACAAAGTGTCAGTAAAATATACTGCCACCACACCACTTCTCACCCAGATTTTCTCAGTTCAATTGTTACTAATTGTTTCTAAACCGATGGTCACCTCATTTCTCCAATGTGAAACACCCGTTTTGTAAATGTTAGGATAAGGCCACTAAGACTGTGAATATCATTTGCACATAACTGGTTCCAGACCAGCTGTCAGACTAACAGAGCCTAGAGGATTACTGCTCCTGCATTAAGATGTTAGCAGATACAAACAGGGAGTGACACAAGAAGGGAACTGAGAGACCAAGGTGGAAAGTCGATGAAACAAACAGGGTCTTTACATCACCTGGTAATATCTGGCTGGAGGAACAACTATTATTTATGAAAGCATGTTAGGAAGTAAAAATCTGTGCTATCCATTCTGTTTGATATGAAATCATCAATCTACTCATTAAAGATGTAGAGGCATACCCCCAGTAGCATCTTGTAGAAGGTTCTTTCATTTTCACTGTTACCAAATAAATAAATAAATAAATGATATCCAACCTCTGCTTGAACTCTGGTTGAATTCAAGAGTTTTGAACTCAATTTCCTCTGTACAGAGATGATTCTGAGATTCTATTCTGCACCTCACCAACCCAGCTGGTGACCAAGCCACTCTAAAAAAGCCAATATTCTATAACCATAATAAATACAACAGTCAGGAAGCATGAGAAAAGCTGCTTTAGTACTCTGAAGTCCAAAAACTGTTTTCATAGGAACAAAGCAACAACTTTCCCACAGCTATATAAAAATCAAGATGAATTTGTAGCTATGTCTATAAAACTGGCAAAAATTAATTCAATTGGATAGGAATAAAACCAATGAACATCATCTGGACTGCAAGCAGCATCTCATCAAGTCTGTTCTGTAGACCTTGTCTGAAGCCAAGAATGGCAATTAAAATATTGATCTCCTATAAATGCAGTCAGCTTTAGTCATTATTTTTAATATGCTTGCAATGTTTTGTTTGCTTTTAAAAGCAGCAGTATTGTGAAAACTCAAAAGTTCACTCATATCCATTTCAGTTTTTCCCCACAAAAATTTAACTAACAAATATTCATAATACCTTCCAATTATTTTAAATAAAATTCCATAAAACAGCTATATTAGAGAGGTAAATGGCCAGAAAGCGTTAATCTTCAGTTTACTATAATTATTTATTGATAATACACACACAGCACATATGCTCATACAAAACACAGTATTTTCTGTGTGCCCCCGGAGGCTAAGTACCAACAGCATGTACAAAGCAAAGTTACATGAACAGATTGATGCTTTATATTCAAATATCCTTCATCTTACAGGAGCACAAACTTCCTTACGAGAATTGGGTTACTTACTCTAATATGCAGCCACCTCTGAAGTTAAATTCAACAACTGTTTAATGGTGCACAACAGCTTAAAACAAGAGCTAAAGATAAAGATATCCAATTGAAATCACAGGGGGATCTTGGAAGCATAATGACATTTGTCACACATACACATAGATAACATTTAAAATATATTTCGTTACAACCTCAAGTAATGAAAACTTTGACATAGTTCTAATCTACCAAAAATTTCAGATCAAGTTTATGAGGGAAATGAAAATTAATCTAAGCCAACATGGACTGAGATATCATAAGGCAATTTTAAATAAAACTTGTGCCTAATCTTTCTAGCTCATGCTAGTTAGCACAACTCTGACTTATTGCATTTGAGGACACAGCCTGGTAGAACCCAAATTTCAGGCAGATACAGATTTTGTAGTTTAAGTTCCAATAAAGAATTGTAGCTAAGTTCCAGGAAAACCATTGTTCCTCTGTAAGTGTTATAAAAGTGCCTGTTGTATGACCACTATGCGGTTACATAACAGGCTTCTGAGCCTCAGCAGTGACTATTAAAGTATGCTCCCCTATGGCCTCTTTCATGTGCCAGTTACATGTTACATAGGGGCACAGACCAACATGCCATTTATAGATCATTTTAGCTTTTAAGGATTCTTATTAAAAGGCTAGCATAACATACAACAGCATAAATGCTCCAAGAGAAACATGAGGTGTGACTGTGCACAAGGACAACATTTCAAAGGACATCCAGTTCCTGGAAAGCAGCATTTCTTTCTTCTTCAGGTGATTGGTCATGTGTGGACTCTTACTGTTGGATGACTCCTTGCAGTGTCTTGCTCCAGGATGCAAATACAGAGAAGTGGTTAAACATTTGGTTATGTGGCCTGGATTGAAAAAAAGCTGTCCTGTATCTACATACATTTAGCAAGACATACAGCCTGGCAAGTATAAGAACATGTTTTGGCAGCCTTATCAGCTAGAATTTGAAGATACTTTCATGCAGAAGCTAACAGGCTATTCATATCCTCAGAGCATACCTGATTTTATCAGATTTCTCTTCACTGGTATCATAGGACTCAGCATACACTAACAACCTGAGATGCCTTTGAGCTTTTCAGTTTGCACTCTACAACTACTTCCATGGTAGAAAGTGATTGGAGTCTGCCAAAAGCCATATAACCATCCAGTGCCAAACAATACAAGCGTGTTTGTCAATCTTTTGCAGATGAGTGAGGCTCTCAGAAACCAAACTTGGAAGCGTAATTAATCTCTTGGGACAATCAAGATTTACAGCATAGCCTTTACCAGAGATTTTAAGTACTGCTAAATGCCAAGATCTCTCCAATCTTTCTGGCTGAGATAACAGCCAGAAATAAGGCTGTTTCAAAAGATAGCTGAAGTAGCAACCACAGAGCCATGGTCTCAAATAACAAAGCATTAAGGCCATCAATACTAAATTCAAATTCTGCTACATTGTTTAATGAGTGAAGTAACTCCACAGTACAGAGCATGGCTACAGATTTCAAAAGGTAGAAAATTAATGACTTCACTGTGCTCTGAACTTAATATGAGAGTCTGAGCTCACTATTCAGATGAGGAAAATACAGGCCAATTAAAATGAGAGAAATTAAATACAGATTAAAAAAGGGGGATTCCTGAAAATAAAAAGATGTCAAGATCAAAAACGCAACAGGGTCACAGCCGTAAAGAGTTACAGTACAAAAAATAACTCCCCAGAATAAGCCAGGTGGCTGAGAGGAAGTGTTGTAAAAGGATACAAAACGATCCCTCCCATCATTTGCATGATGTATAGAGGAGGTATAGGTGTGCATCAGTGGGTACCACTCAGAGCATCTGACTCAAGTGCTTGGAAGTACACCTGCCTGGGGTATGAATATACATATAGAAGGCCACTCAGTGGAAAAATAGCTGATTCTATAGTTTCAAATGGTCGGTTTATCGTAAAGACAAAGCACGATTCAGTTGGGCTATACAAGATATGACCAGTTTCTTTCTCAAAGGACACAAAACAGCGTGTCTGTTAAACGTGTAGTATTAGGAAATGCTCAGTATCAGGCTGGATGAGAAAACATGTTAGATACACTGCCATTCTGAACTGCTGTATTGTTTTCTTCAAAACCAACTCCATCAGAACATGGTGGCATGGCAACAGCTGGAAACTGGCATCTTATTGGCAGCATAGGGCAACAAGCAGGGACTACACAGAAGCAAATATCCCTATGAGCAGTGAATATAAAACCCAGGACTTTCTGCATCGTAATGTTAGTCACAATCTCACTAATATATTGCAGTTGCTTAAGATAAATTATCTATTTGGCATGTCAGAGGCCTTGAAATTACAGATAGGTCAACAATCAATTAAATGGACCTAAGCATACTTCTTAAGTAACTCTTTGCCAAATGGATCTCTAAAGTCTAAATGAAAAATAAAATCTTTCCTCATATTGATTTCTTTCCTTTAACTTTCTCATATTGTGTGTCTTCAGGCAGTATATCTGCGGTTTACACAATGGAAAGTATTAGTTTACCTTCACAGATACTTTTCACATCCTTTCTGTAATTTCATTACCTCTACTCTGAAGAGCACAGATTAGGCTTCCATCATATTTAAAGGAAAAGCCATGGGGGAAGGGAATAAAGTGGAAAATGATACGGTTCCCTCATAGATTGTTTTCCTTCAAGCACTAATTGTTTAAAAAAGAATCCTTTTACAACTAGAAACCTACATTTATCTTGTTAAAAAGCTTTTTCAGTCCTCTCATAATAAAAATGAGAGTGGAGACAGAAACCATAAAGAACTGTTACAGCTAAAACTTGGCTGTTTTGCTGATTGCTGCTGTTTAAGTGGCTTGAAATCATCTTCCTCAACATGCCATCTATCTTCTTAACCATAGCTTTTTCTACTCAATTGCGTTTCTAAACATTTTTAATATGCTGTTACATCTATTCTGACAGAGACTTAGAACACAATATGATAAATCATGACTGTTAGTTTTCTAAGACTGTGATTATAGGCCTCATGCTTGTGATTACAGTTAAATCTTACTGTGGCATTTGTTATTTACACCCTGTTCTCTCACTTCCATCAGAGACTCAAGGAAAGCACTGTGTTGTCCTTTTGCCCTATCTGTTTTTGTAATCATCCTGCAGCTTGACCGCTGAATTTGAAGCACTTTGTCCACCTATCACAAGCTGACTGCATTTTCGAAATAAGGTGCCGCAAGTATAACTATAACAATTCTCTTTAGATCAAGATAACTAAACTAGAGAGGCCGGGTAGTCATTACAAAATGCTCAAGTTTCAGGAGTTACTCCTAAAAAATAGAAATGTTTTTTTATTAGACAAATATTAACATAAAAATGGCTAAATTGTTCATTACTAGACATCCAAAGGAATGGCTGGCACTATGGAAGAAACATAAAAAGTGCAAGAGCAAATTGTCCCTGGAGCAGACAAAAGCACATT